TTTTTTTTCGTTTAAAGAAATACATACTTTTTTTTTTTTTTTTTTTTTTAATCCAGATAATGCTGTATTCTACCAAGAGGTTACACAAAAGAACTGCAAATAAAGTGTATGTACATAAATAACTTGGTCTGACTTTTTGTTTAATGTCTAAGATGATTGGAACAGATTGTATCATGAACTGCTTTCCCTTTAGCTAATTAAATAGCCGTCCCCACTTACCATAAAGCATATTCTTATTAAAACAAGTATCTATATTCACTCTGTTGGATAAATTACTTCCAAGTAAGTGCCATAAAGTCCATTACACTCATGCTTTAGAAGTGGATCAGGTCCAAACAGACAATCAAAGGATTTCACTGGGATTATTTTAGATTAGAAAAACTAAGGAAAACTTGAAGCACTGACAAGATTGTAAAGATGTAAAGGATAAATTAGCAGCTACATACCAAACAAAGTACAGCAGCAGTATCCTAGCATATTCAAAAAAGAGCAAAAATAAAAAAATATCCTATTGTACTAACCTAGGTTCAAACTGACATTTGTTTATTCAGAAATAGAATGTCATGACTAAATGTTATCTGCCATAAAAATCAAAGTTTATATTTCAAAGGTTAAATACCAAAAATATATAAAACAACCAAGTTAACCAACCAGCTGAGTAGGAGCTTATTCTCTCCACAAGTTCCTTTTAAAATTGAGTAGAAAAGATCATGTTATGATTTGCTATATTAATGAGCCATTATTGCATAACTATGCTTTTATTGCAGATATATTACCTGCTAAATGATGCTGTTTTTCCAGAAAAAGTTCACAGTACAGATTCTATGGGAATGTTTCCTGCTGACAGTTCCTAAATCTTTCAGAAGCTGTCAGCAACCTCAGAAATCAAGTTTGCAGTACCCTAGCAAGCAGAAGCACATGCATAGGCTTTCTATTTTTAAACTGCAACTCAGACCATTAAAGAAATGGCTTAAATGTGAAAGATCATTGAAAATAAGAATCATCCTAAATTGTCAATTTAAAGGACACTGTCAATTACGTGCAATCTAATCTGAAAATCCTATAAACGCCACTTGCCGTTTTAAAATCTACATTTTTTTTAAAATTAACTTCTGCCCAAACTAATTTTCCTCAGAGCCACACTGACAAATGTTTGATATAAAAAATAAGTAAAATTTAGTAAAACATACATTTCCATAGAGAAGACTGATCCATGGGAAACATGTCCTTTCTATTTACCTGTAAACAGCCTTTCTACTGTACATTCTTCCCATTAAGCTAATGAAAATGATGGCAAAATCCAGCTGAAGCTTAAAAGAAATTCAGCCCAAAGATTTATAATTACAGTCAATTACTAAAGTTCACCTGCTAGACTTCTGAAATGTCCTCGTGCTTTGTGTCACTCAATGCTCTTTTGATTGTTGTATTTTTTTCAATGAAGCAGAGAAATTGGGCCCAGCTGAACACAACTTTGCTAGAAATGAGACTATGATATCACAAAAATACTCACTGAACTCTGAACATGAGCACAAACATTCATTCCTTGCAAAAGTTTACTAGAAAAAACGGATTACCACTGCTTCCATTAAATCCGATTAGTCCCTTTTTATTATATTGGCCATATTCTAAGTGGTGCTCTGCAGTTTGCAGGCACAAACTTTGTTATTGGTAAATGGGATTTTTATGACTAATTTCCCCATTTGCTGTTTGTTATGAAGATTTGTGCACATAAACCTGGTACACAATTTCATGACTATATTTCAAAATGTCCCTTTGTTTTGGATTTAAGCTAGAACATAATTTTCTCAAGAGCATAATGTACTCTAATAAACAATATTCCGTGCTGCTTTTCAGCTGGATGGAGCAACACAGAGTAGCTAGACAACTGCCACAGTGGAAAAAAGAATTTCCTCACAACAGCCAAGAGTTTGAAGATTTTATTACCTCTAAACCAACCTCTTACATTCTTCAGGACTGTGAATCAGGGCAAGGGGTTTGTATTCCAGAAATCACTGCCTGGCAGAACATTTTCGGTGAAGACCATTTTACCTCTTGATCTAAGCTTAACAAGAAACGATTCAAATAGATGTGGATCAAGTTCAAGACGGGTGAGAAAAGGTGACTTAGAACAGTAATTCCCCACTAGCTTGTGGATGCTATATTGAGACTGCTTTAGCAGTCCAGCCTATAATCTATACATGCCTGTGTGAAAGCTCATTTCTATTTGTGAGTAGCTAGTACCTAACTCGTATCTCCCAGATGGGATGTCACCAGAACAAACTGCAACTGTTCCGAAGGGCAGTCAGAATGTATAGATTTTTAATCTTATCACTATAGAGGCTGCAGATTCTACAGCTCCATAGTCATCACTTGGAAACAAAACTTTCTTTTACTTCTTATTATATAAGAAAAGCAATGAGGATTTTTTTTTTCTATTTTTTATACAATTTTTTTGCTAGTCTTAATTAAGCTTTACATATAAACATAACTTAACTGCAGTTGGCAATATAAGTAGTGCTGTAAAAGCAAAACCCATGGCCACGGGGGCTCCTTTAAAATTGAAGCCAAGGAAGAGGAAAGAGGGAAAATGTAGATTAAGATTTGCTACAGAGAGAGAAAGGAAAGGATGGATCATAAAATATAAAGTACATTGATGCAGAAGGGTGTGTTTATGCACACATTTGCATCTATATCCATACAAATATAATTTTCAAGTCTATACATTGTTGGGCAACATATGTATTGTTCACAAAGTAAGCAAAATTCAAAATAGGGTTTTTATTCAGCATCAGAATCTAAAATTGTTCATATTGTTTATAATTTTATTGGTGCCAGTTACCTCTCCCCCATTATGGATTGAAAGATCACTCCTTCCACCCCTAAGTTTGGTTACAAAACCTCCAAATGAACCTTCCAGTAACATCAGCCCAGATAACACTTCAGAGATCTGCTCTTCCAAAGACAGGACTTTGCCAAGGTAATTGCTTACTTATAACAAATTTTGGAAGAGACCATGACAAAAATGTTCAGAAGATACAGTTTGTCAAATACTATCTAAAGTTTTTTCTGAAAGCTACCACCAAAACAGTATTGAGAACAACTTTTCAGTCTTCAGCAGATCTACAAAGCACTTCTTAGTTTCATATCTCTACCTGTAAAGTAGAGACAGTGATAACACTTAACCTCCTTAACAAAAACCTTTGGTATCTTTTGAATTAAAAAAAACCCTTTAAAGAAACTCACACATAAATTATTTTATATATACTCACAAGTCAATTACTCTTGTGGGTACAGAAACATATATAGAACAGATTGGCAAGTTAAAATTCCAATAGAAACTATGAAGTTCCTGTAGAACTATAAAACTACAGTGATATTTATGGTCAAACTTTCTTTGTTCTGCACACTGCATAGAGTTTTAAGCCAAGATTGATCATCAAGCTATATTCTGTGTACACTGAATAGACAGAATTTCTAAAGAATTACCAACTAGAAACTTAATACATTTCTTAACCTCCTTTAGAAGTTTGCTCTCAAGCTTAAACAATCACTCCAAATAAGTAATCTTAGCAAACACTACCAACATTACTAAAACTAAGCTTCCCAAGGAAATCATACACTACTCACACAAATTCTAGATATTTATGAATGCAGTGGATTGAATAAAATTTTTGAATCTTCAGAATTGTTTTAATTTGCTTGCATGGAAATGTTGTCTATTTTTCCTCCAAAGTTTCATAAATTTTTCTAACGAATATGTTGAAAGACCTCTCAAAACCATAACACAGATACTTTTACAAACATGCAGTCAGTTTCAACAATGCAAGGTATCATTTTTCTGTTTGTTAAATCTTCTGAAGACAATTGATTGCAAATGATACACGAGCTTATTTACTAGAATTGTTCATTTTTTTGCATGAATGTTCAGATACATGCCTTATGGCTCAACTATTGGTCCGAATCACTTTTTGAGGTAGTGCATTTTAATAAGAGTTTGTTGGTTCCACATAGGCAAACAAACTAGTGAGAGCACAAGACAAAGAAGCAAGATGAATACTAATATTTATGAATTTAAAAGGTTTACCCAGCTTGGAAACAATCATTTTGTTTATCTCAAATCCAGCTACAATCTAAAAAGTGCCAATGCAAACTTCTAATCACTATGCAAAACCTGAAAAGAACCAGTTAGAGCAAGCTCAGTTTCAAATCTGTGGTTAAAAAATAGGCATTAAAACATGCCAAATGTTACACAGATTTTAAATGTTTTTTATCTGATCACCTCTGTGTTTTGTGGAGTTTGGATTTTTTTGTTTGTTTTTTTAGGTTTGTTTATTTTTTTTTTAATCTTAGCAGGCATCTCCTGTCAGCTATTGTAAGAGACTGGGTCCTCTAGCCAGCCCTTGCAGGCATCACACATCCTTCAGACTTCCTTCCTCCCAGAGCACCTCATTCATAGTTAATGCAGAATCTCTTTTGGCCTCTTTGTGGTTCTTTTCAACTGAGACCTTGTATCTGTAAAACCTTTGAGATTTTCCTATACAAGGAGCTGTTATTCCTATCTTCTCCTCAGATGCATTTTTTTTTCATCTGCTTAAGGTCAACTTTCTTTTTGTCAGGTTCTAACAAGCTTTATAAAACGTATCATCACAAATCTGATTTTTATCCCAAAAAGAATGAGTTATTACTAAGAACTCACGAATTGCTAAAATGGGAAGAAAGGGGTTCCCTTTCATGTCATGAGTACTGCTGCATTTTGTCTCTTACAGCTTCTTCCAGCAGCAAGTTCTTCTCCATCTCTTCTAAGCCCCCTTCCTAAATGCTTCACAGCTCATGATGCAGCTGTTTTCTTGTTTCTCATAGGTTTGTCTCTAATATCCATCCCATCCTAGATGCACATGAGAAGGATCTATAAAGGTCATTGTTGGTATCTTTTGTCTTAAGTAAACATACAAAAATTTGCCTCATTTTAAGTATTTCCTCTAATAAAGAAGTGCACTTACCTGACAGGATTTGTTGTTTTACCAGTACTCTGTACAACTGCGTCTAGGACTTAATTCTTCCTTCTCTCTTAGGAGAGTCAATGAATGTCTCCTTAGAATTTCACCACGATATCATGCCTGGAAGAGAATGGCAATGAGTTAAACAAGCAGTTCCTGGGATGTGAACAAGTGACCCTGTTGTTAAGTGACCATGCTGACTACTACTGCTTAATTTTAACAAAAGATGTTATCCAGTGCCTAACAATAGAGTCCTAATAACTCTCTCACTTATAGCTGATACTGAAATAAAGCAATAAATCTATCCATACTAGCAACACCTTCTTTCTTAGGGAATGAATACAATTTATCAAAAGTCACAATGCTAATACACTCATCATTTAGAATTTCCAAGAACCCTGTGGACAGACACAGCCTGGCAGATAGGAGAGTCTATCTTGCTGTCATTCCAGTGTTGAGGACAAGAATAACGAAGTCATTAAATATTTTATTAAAATAAAATTATTTGCCCAGACTTATTTCTTTTTGCAGTATTTAATAGAACAACATCAAATAAGTGATACATCTATCCAAGTATTCTGTCTCTGACAATGTCCAGTGGACATGGAAAAACACAGGCATAGAGATAAGCACGTAGTAACATTCCTCTAGACTATTCTCCCAGGAGAGACACCAGCAAACAATTGCCCTTGATGGACTTTTTTCCTCTGTAATCTACTGCTATCCCTCTTAAATCTGTGAAAAATACCAGCACATAAAACATCACGAGACAAAGATTCCCACAACTGTGTTATGAGGTACTTCCTTTCATGAAGTTTCATGAAGTTTTACTCAGAATTCCAGGTTGGTTTTGAATCATGTATTTTAGAAGTTTTACAATAAATGAGAAAACATTTTAATCTTCACTAAATATTTCCCGTTAAAATATTACATTTAACAATTATGTAAAAATCAATGAATGAGGCTTAAGAAAGTGAAAATGAAATTATGTAGACACTAATCTATGTTTGTTATGCAAACCAACCTGAAAAGACAGTTAATTTGTTTAAATATCAGTGTATCTGTCAGGAGATAGGCTGCTGGGTGTCATTAACCAGTTAGAATTTCCTAATTGTTATCTTGCAGTGATTATTTAGAATACCACATCATTTCCCCATGATCTCACTGATGCCCTTCTGCGGCAGCCCATGAAGATGTGATCCAGCACACAACCATGGAGCTGGACACCCCACTATGCCAATCAGCTGGTGCCAGTACTTTCTACTTAGTGAGCACTGTCTTCCAAAGCTCTCAGCCTTCTAGGAACCTCAGGTGAACTAAACACAACAGTGACTGAAGGGATTCATTCTTAAACGTGTTAAGTAGCAAAGCAATCAGGGTCTTAGAAGATCCACAGCAAAGTGATGAGGGAAATCAGCTTTATGGATTGTGTATTCATTTAAACTCTTATAGACATCTTTCAGTAATGTTAGAAAGCAGTGACCTGTCCTTTGTGTCTTTGCTATTATCTCATCTCTGAACAATGGTGTTTTTTCCTGTTATTGCACACTCCTGAAAAAACTCCTCAATGCGTGACTGAATTTGGCCTGCTTGCTTGCAATACTGCAAGTTGTCCTTTCAGATGAAAGCAGATGGAAGAAGCACAGCCCTCACTTGAGTTCTAAATACACTATGCCATAGAATGCGACATGGCTTCCTGTAAGACAAGACATAAACCCTTTCTGACTGGAAGGAAGGAACAGCATGGTGGGGATCATGGGAGATAAAAGCCAGAGATGAAACTCTTTGCTGTCCTGGCCATCCAACCAGGGGATTGATATGCTGCTGGACAAGCATAAGGATTCTCCCCTTTACACAGGGACTGTGGAGCCTGATCTCTCCTCCTTTTGTCCACCCCATCACCCTGCAATGTGTTTTCAGGTGAGCTGAACCTTCCCTTGGTGTATTAGGCTGCACTAAGGAGCCATGACTGCCACATTGCCCTGTGGAAATTTCAATCAGAGCATGTTCAGGGAGGGTGACATACAAGCTGCCTCACTGCCAGCCAGTCCTATGGCCCAAGTTCCCCACAACTGCAGGATAGCATTACCATGAGCATCTCCTACCTGCTGGTTTCAGAACCATGCCAAGGAAAAAAAAACAAAGGTGGATCAGAATCAGGCCCTCTTTAGTGGATGATGAACTGGATTACAAAAAAGTAGTATCTATAAATGCTTTGGATACAAAAGTGCATCAAATACTATTTCTGACTTGCATATCCTTTAAAATAGATTTGATTGCCTCAGATAAACTTTGTATTATTTCTGTACAAGGACCTGTGCAGACCAGAATGAACTCCCTATCATTCCATAGTAATTTCTTTTGAAATCTTTACCAAAGGCAGTGAAGCAAGGCAGATGCTTTCAAGACGTACTAGAAGACATAGTAAAGTGCAGGCATGGACAAGTGTCTTGCAAAGGTAAGTACCCCCTCTACTGACCTTAAGATGATATCTTCCCAACAGACTAGAAGCATAGCTTGCGCATGTGCATAATTATACACACTCTATTTTCATAGATACGTGCATCCACAACTTCACAGACATGCAAAATACAAATGCCAGCTGTTAGTAAGGCAATATTTTCTCTCTAGAGGTGTATCAATATTGGCTTATTTCTAAGGTCTGTAGCTCATTTCAACCCTGGGTCACATAAACCTCATGTAATAATACCCATTTATCAAATATGCCATACTATATCACCAAGAAAAAAACACTGAAATGCTTTCTCAATTGGTCCCTTTCGTCCAGAATATTTTGGACAATGCTAGTTGCCCAGGAATTATTTCTGTTAAGCTATCTTACAGACCTGTTGGCCACAGGACTGCTTCCACTCTTCAAGTAAAATCAATGGATACTCCTGACTTCAGTGACAACAGGGTAAAGTTTCGTGCTATAAAAATATAATGCCCACAATATTTGTCAAATCAACTTCAATCTGAGATCCTCTGTCACTGTGAAGAAAACACAATTAATGACTCACTTTAAAACTGAACTGTGGTTTAAGACCAAGTGCTAAATCAAATCCAGTCACGTACAGCCTAGAATTTAAAAACATGTTTTAAAGCAACAGTTAAAAGAGCAGTTAAGTCACAACATCCACCAGCTAATTCATGTTTAAAATAAATCTGATGTAATTGGAAGTATATAGTACATCTATACCTCAGAATTCAGTGTTGGTTGTCAGACTTATACAACCCATGATCATCCAGCACTCAATAAATCTCACATATTCAGGGATGCTTGCTTAAATCTCAGGCAACCATACACACCATGGAACTTGGTGGTACAGAAAGACTCATCGTTTTAAGGCCAGTTAGTTAAAAATATCTACCTGTACATATCCAGTGGGACATGGGACAGAGCTGAAAGTCTTTTCTGTACTAGTTCATACAAGGCATCAGAACTGAGGCATGAAGGACAGACATAAATGAGAGAAAAATACACGTAGCAAGACAACTCAAGAGAACAAAGAGATAGAACACACCAAAGAAAAGGTAATCTCTGAGCAGTCACATTCATTTGGATTCTCTTTATATTGTTTTAAAATGATCCTGGAATTATGCCCATAAGACAAGCCATTTCCTGAGACACTAACAATGCAGTACCATAGCATTCAAAATTTATATAATTATTTAGAAAATGAAATTCCTGGAGACCATGCAAGAGCAGTAACAGTACATGTAATTAACAGCAGATTTTTTTTGTTGTTGTTCAGTTGGTTGGTTGTTTTTTTTTTTAAACAAAAGAGTTTTATACAACTTAGGTATCAGTAATAATGATAATGATTACTTTCATGACTGCTAGATTGCCAGAGGATATTTGAATGTCAGCATTTAAAGATAAAGATTTGGAACTCATCCTTGAAAGAGTTCAGTGGCAGACCATTTAAGATACTTCTTCAATATCAGTGATGATATGACGTAACGAGAAAAAGAGCTGTTGATAAGTTGTGAAATCAACATCATCTTCTATTCTGATATGGAATGAATTATAGTGATACAGTGATTGCTGCTATTTCTATGACTTAGCTCAAATATTCCCTTTTATCACACCTTACATTTGTGTTGATTGCCAGGTAAGTCAACTGAAAACCTTTTTGCTAACAAGAAATCCTGGTACTGAGGTCAGCCCTTCAATGCTGAAATGTACAATTAGCAGGCAGGACTAATCTCAAACTATCCTGTAGTTCTCAACTCCAAAAGTAATTGCATCTTTCCCACTAGCAACACCTTTGTACACAAGTACATTAAGTGTTAAGCTTCACAAACCATGAGAACTTGAGATAACAGTGGCTGTACATCAAGGTCCATCAGGTGGTGGATATCAAACTGCTGTTCTCAGTGCTGTGGGCTCCATATATTAGCACTCAGAATAGTTGAATCAGCACACAAGTCCATTTCTTGAAAGGTATTAATCTTTTTAAAGGTGAAGAATTAATAACAGAGAGGGAGAGAGAAAGGGTGAGAGAAATGCAATCTGTTACAGGACTGGGAGAGTACAAATGAAGATTAGAGCTGTAGTTAGCTGTCGCAAGAGATTGTAGCCTATGGTGAACAAACCCTCTCAACTTACTGGCATTTGTCATTCCAAAGCATGCTCCTTTAAATTATATATAAAATAATTTTGAGACAGTGGAACTGTTCATGCCTAGTGTAGAAGAGAATATGAGTATGGCAGGAGGCTTGAAGTAATGAAAGGTGGGGGATACATTCTTTATTGATTAACATGTATTCCTTGGAAAAAAAAAATAGGCATGGGGAACAAAACATTATGGATTTTCTAGTTCTTATTCAACTAGAAGATGGAAATAACTGCAAGCACAGAACCATCAGAAAAATTTCAGAGACTCAGTAGGGCTTTTAAAATCATCTAAGATTTCTCTACTCCCTGTCTTCTACTCAGTCTATTACTTAATGTTTTTCAGAGAAGGTAGATGAGCATCAGGAATGCATCTGCAATAGAGACGTGGCCAAGTAAAACACATCCTATGCAGTTATCAGCTATGCCAAACCTTCCTGAGACTCAGCCAAATGGACAGTGACTGGTTTGCAAGCCACTTCCAGCTGCTCCCATTTTCAGT